TCAGAGCTAAACAACAAAGAAAATCTGAAGCTCTTATATTTGAGCAATAACCATTTTTATGTGTCCAGACACTCCTTTTTCAGGTAAATTGGGGTCCGGGGAGGGTGCACTGATTGATAGGCCTGATGGATAGAGCTTCATCAGAGCTAAACATCAAAAGAAATCTGAAGCTCCTATGTTTAATATTTTTTGAGCTATAACCACTTTTGTATGTCCAGACCCCACTTTTTCAGAAAAATTGGGTGGGAGGGGGCACTGATTGGTGGGCCTGATGGATAGAGCTTCATCAGAGCTAAACAACAAAAGAAATCTGAAGCTCCTATGTTGAACAGTTTCTGAGTTATAAGTATTTTTGCATGTACAGACCCCGCTTTTTCAGATAAATTGGGGGTCATCTACAGTCCTGCCAAATTTCATGTTTATCAGTGCAGTCGTTTTTGTGGTACGGTTGACCAAAAATCACTGGAAAAATAAATTAAAAAATAAAAATAAACAGTACGACAACAATATGACTCCCGCTTACGCTTCGTGTGCGGGGGTCATAATAACTCACCCTATTGTTGTTAGCACTTGGTCTCACAACATTAGCAGCTGCTCTCTCCCCAAGGGAGGGGGCGGCACCATGCGCTCGTGTGACCCAAAGAATGGATCAGCCGAACGGATGGACAAATCGGCTGAAAATATCGGCCGGCCGATGTATCGGTCGACCCCTACTGCTATGATTATTTGTAGAAACAAAGTTTTTTAATTAAAGTAAACTGAGCAACTAAATTACTTTTACTTGACTAAATAATAGCACAGCAGTTATTGCCAACTAGTGAGCTTGCTTCAGTGTTTTATAAATTGTTCACAGCTTTATAAATAATATTTATGTAACATTAATAAACYATTTATAAAAGGACCATGTTTTTGTAAAGTGGTCCCAAAAATCTCTTCTTAGGCTGAATAATTTGTTGCTTTAAAATGTTATGTGCAATTTTGAGGCAGTCGCTTTTTTTGTCCAGGGTTCCTCACTGTTTTGTCATTTTTTTCCCTCTCTGTCTTTATTGCATTTTTCAGGGAGTTGTCCAAATTCAAGATTTATGTAAATCCTACTGACTTGAGGAGAGCTTCCATTAACATTCTTCTTGCCATGCTGCCGCTGCCGCATCACTTTGGAAACATTAAATCAGAGGTAAACTGCTTATAAAAGCTTTTTAATTATTAACAGCAGTGTTAKTGGAGGCTTGTTTTCTATTGCTTAAGAAAAAAAAATAGTGTGGCGTTTATTTAGACTTTCTTAATGTTCAACTTAAGACTTGATGTTTTCCAAAGTTTTTGTTTGGATGTTTTAAACACAGGCTTTAATTGGGTTTGAATTGTTTTAGTTGCTTTGACTTTGTGATTCATTTATTTATTTTCTAAACAGAGCTGGGACTGTGCTACATGATAAATTGTACAAGTACAGTTGTATAGATCATCAAATAATTGCTGGTTAAATGTTAAAAATAAATTTTTAGTGATTTTAACTCAAAGCAGAAAAAGAAACTAAATGCATGAAACGGTAATGAAAAGGCATTTTTACTCATTMAGCTGTTTTTATGCTGGTTAATGATTCTAATAAATTATAAGTGTTGGGTTGAATATTAATTGTGAGGGATAATTGTGTCCTGTAGGTTCTGCTGGAGGGGAAGTTTAACGAGGAGGACGGSTGGCCTCATGACCAGCCCGTGTCTTTCCTGTCTCTGAGGCTTCGTCTCGTCAACGTCCTCATCGGAGCGCTGCAGACTGAGACCGACCCCACCAACACACAATTGATCCTTGGTATAACCTACTGGTTGTTCCCTATACAGTATTTACTCTGGCATGAATTTAAAGGGATCCACGATTAGTTGTAACATTAGATTTTATTTGATAAACATTTATTTTAACTGTAAAATAAAAGCTGTAAAATAAACTGTAGGCTGTTTAATTTAGTAATTTTTTACAAATATATTTTAACACGGACGGAGCCATTTTATTTACACACAAAGCATTCTGGGTAAATGATGATGTGGATAGGTCCTCGGCGTGAGCGAGCTATATCCACCCTGAAGGTTAATCTTGGACAATATCTGACGATCGTCTGTTTTAAGTAAAACCAGAGAGCGTTGACAGAGAGAAGAAGGTAAAAATGACTCAGCCTGGAAC